ATTGTGCAATGCCTCAGAGGTCAGAAGAGGGCTTCGGATTCCCCTGGAACTGGAGTTAAGGATGGTTTGTAGCTGCCATGTGGGTGCTGGAAATTGAACCCGGGTCCTCTGCAAGAGCAGTCAGTGTCTTAACTGCTGAGCCATCTCTCCAGCCCCAAAAAGTAACATTTTATTAGACTGAAAGGCTTATTTCTTTTCTCAACGGGCAAAAGGGCCCTGCATTTGCCCATCTTGACCTGAGTCCAGTGAGTATTGCCTTTATAATTCCAGAGAAGCAAGAGGCTTACACTTAAGTATCACCACCCATTAATCAGTGTGCTCTTTTGGGGTGCTGTCTTATCTGTTCAATATAATTTGGGGATTCCGAAGCAAGCAATAGGGTGCTGAAGAAGAGCTGCTCTAGCCAATGCTGCCCTGTGCACAGGAGATGATGTTCTCTTGTGGGTTCTTGGCTGAGAGTTTGTGCTTTCTGAGACAGCCAGTGCAGATAGGGCCTTGCTTTCAAAATGCTGCTTTCCATTGAAGAGGCGTGTGACATGCTCTGCTGTATTATTGGTGAGACAGTGCTCAAGGCAGGTCTGCTTGAGCTCGCCTTGTCCCTGGGGGTGAATTCAATGTCTTGCCCTTAAATTGATGATATCCTGATTGAGCACTGTCTAGGCAGCTGTATACTTTAGCCTGTTCCGAGGAGCCCCAGGGCAGTTCCCTGGAGTGTTCTCCTAGCTGTCTTTTAGCTTCTAAAGACTCAGATGTGCTACATACCTGTAATCCAGTACTTGGGAAACAGCGGATTGTGAGCTCAAGGCTAGCCTGGGCTACAAAGCAAGATCCTAATTTAAAAAAAAATTCCAGGGGATGGAGAGATGGCTCAGCAGTTAATATGTACTGCTTTTCCAGAGGACCTGAATTCAATTCCCAGAAACCACATCAGGTGGCTTAGAACTGCCTGCAACTCCATCTTCAAGGGGATTTGACACGTCTGGCTTCCACAGACACCTGTACTCTAATGCTCATAGTCACACATAAACACACACATATGTATGTAATTTAAGAAAAACTCTGACCACTTCAAACATCCACTTAGGGGCTGGGGATGCAGTGTGTTCAAAGCCCAGGGTTTAGTCCCCAGCACTGTGAAACAAACAGAAAGGCTTTTATTGAAGGGACCAGAGAGATGGCTCAGTGGGTAAAAGAGCTAGCTCCAGAAGCCTGACGACCCAAGTTCAGTCCCTGGAACCTACATAAAAAGGCAGATAGGCCAGGCATGGTGGTGCATGCCTTTAGTCCCAGCACTTGGGAGGCAGAGGCAGGTTCTCTGTGAGGCCAGCCTAATTACACAGCAGGTTCTAGGCCAGCCAGGGCTGCATAGTGAGACCCTGTCTCAAGACAAAAAACAAGAAAAAAGCCAGATGTGGTTGCACGCATCTGCAATCCCAGCTCTCTTACTGCTAGATGGAATGCAGAAACAGGAAAACCACGTGGAAACTTGAGTCAGTTAACGTGGAGTGCGCAGCACAGCAGCAGAAACAAGAGAGACCCTGCCTCAACAGGGAGGGTGATAACCAGCTCTCCTCAGTTGTCCTCTGACCTCCGTATGTGCACTGAGGCCTGCATGTACTTGCTCTCCTGGCTACCTCCCCACATTTTTTAAAAAAGGCTTCTGAAGATTGTTTTCCTCCTGATGTCCCTGCTAAGTAGAACATACCTGTGGGTGTGAGCCTACCAGGTGGTGGCAGCAACTTGGATCTGCTTTCAGAAGCCTAGTTTTCATCTGGGCTCCAGTAACTATTTTGCTTCACCTATGGCAGTTGCTTATTTCAGTTTGATTTATTTATTTATTTATTTATTTATTTATTTATTTATTTATTTTTGGTCTTTTTGAGACACGGTCTCCCTGTAGCCCCAGCTGTCCTGGAACTCACTGTGTAGACCAGGCTGGCCTTGAACTCACAGAGATCTGCCTGCCTCTGCCTCCTGAGTGCTGGGATCAAAGGCGTGCGCCACCACGCCCGGCTATTTCAGTTATTTTTTGACTGCTAATGTGAGACATATATTTTGCGGTGCTAACTAATTTTCCAAAGGTCATTTTCTAATTCACTGAAGATAGAAAGTTCTCTTTCTGTGAAATCAGAATGAATGTACTTGCTCAAATCCATTGTTAATGTTCAGAACGTGCTGTACTAACAGAAAAGCAAATTGTTGCTGCATTTTAAACACTTTTTTCTCTTCACAGACAAGTTGTACAATTCTGTTTATCTCACCGTTAATAGTGAGGGAAGTATTCTCTCTTGTGCAAAGGAGACAAGCTCATATATTGAGTGAGTGACTGGTGCCCGCGCGAGAGAGAACTGTGGGAAACTCATGAGGACCTGTAGCCTTCAGTTCACCCTGTGTGGTGTTGGCCAAGCACCAACGAATTTCAGCTTTGTCAGGCCTTCCACTGCCAGCCACCCAGACTCTGGGAGTCGTGAGGGCCACACGTTTTTCTACACTACAGCAATCAGTGATGATTTTTATTATGTTTTGTGAATGTACTGAAAGGATTGTGAACCTGCTGTTGTCCTTGCTCAGCCTGCCGGGGCTTATCCCTTTAACCTTAAATTCCTTCTTGGCCTCAGACTCTTGTTCTGCAGCCTTACGAGTTTAGTGAACAGGAGGCAGAATCATGTGCTTGTGTTGATAAGGAGAAGACTGCTGCTTTATGCTTTGGTACTGAGTTTGCAGAGTGGATCCCGCTTAAGGCATCGTATTAGAGCTCCAGGTGGATGAAGCCACAGCCTCACCTCAGACTGAGAACCTTCGCTCAGGCCTGAAGTCACACTGTGTGCGTGTGGTGCAGTCACTGTCTCATCTGGAAGTCTTTCCCTCTGAAAGCAGACATATCTTGGAATGGTCGTCAGCTTGTTTTCCTCCGACTTACAACGGACTGACTCCTGCAAGTGTTCTTTTCATGGACTGTAAATTATCTTGAATATTCCAGCATGGAATTTTCAATCCCAGATTCACAGTCTGGGGTCGATAAGGTCCTCAAAGAAGCTATGTTATTGTAAGCCAATTCTTGGAGGATTGACCTGTCTGACACAACCGGGTTCCTGAAGTTACCTCAGCAGAAGACTAGAATTAGACAAAAGGCAAAGGCCCTTTGTCCCAGGGCTGTGATGGGTGCTCATTGAATCATGTTAATGGATTACTCGGGCCTCAGGCATGCCATCTTTAGAAGACTGTAGAGTGTGTGTCTTTAAGACTGTGAATTCTATATTAACCAATATTTTAGGGTCATTCTGTACATATTTTACATTATGTGTAAGCAAACAAGGAGGACAGTGTGCAGTTCTGAAGGATACCTGATCTGCATTGAATTAGGGAATGTTTTTCACCCCTTGCCTTTATACTCCAAAGTATGTGTTGGTGAGTCTGTTACTCAATCATGCAGATTTCGGATCCCTTTATTGTTCATGTACTGACATAAAATGAAAATACAAAACATAGGAAGGGAGAAAAAACCCAGCTTTTATAATAAATGTCCATGATTTGGTTGTTTACTCTCTGCTCCAGGATAGAGCACGCGTGCTGTGGCTGCACCATGCTGCCTGCCAGTTCAGATCTGCATTTTAAATATGATGAATGCCTTTAGTGGCTCGTGCTGAGCGTCGCTGGCTGGTAGATAGGTGCTTATTCCACAGCCTTGCCTGGTGGAGCACTGCCCTGCCTTGGGTGCTGGGAGGGCCTCACTTCCGCTAGGTGCCGTGAAAACTCACCATCTCCCTTTGTGGCATTGCACTCGGTCTCGATGCATTGCCTTGGTGTAACTTAAGAGCTGCCTTCAGATGAAGCCTGTTTTTTATTATTGACTCTTGCCGATGTTGTGGCTCCGAGCTTCCTCCAGTCAGCAGGGCTGCATCTCTGTGTTGTGACACCAGCCAGGATTTTCTTACCCAGTTAGCTTCTGGTGGGTGAGCACCCTCTTGACCTCTCTGTGGCTCCCTGAGCTCTACCTGAAATGGAATTACAAACATTCAGCACCAGATGAAATGCTGTTTCCCTAGAGGCATATTCCCTTGCTCTAGTTCTGCCAACCTGTGAAGGAATTAATTTAACAAATACCTAGGAGTTTACTTGACTTTCATAAGAAATTATTCCCTTGAAGAAAAGGTCAGGGGCTAGGGAGCTGGCTTAGTGAGTAAAGTGCTTGCTATGCAAGCGTGAGCACATGCACCCACATACAAACGTAGGCACAGCAGCACATGCCTGTAATCCCAGTGCTGGGGAGATAGAGACAGGAGGATTTCTGAGGTTTGCTGGCCAGCTTGTCTAGCTCAATCAGTGAGCTCTAGGTTTATTTACTGATAGACCCTGTCTCAAAAAGAAGTAGAGAGTGATCAAGGAAAACACCTGACGTCAATCTCTGACCTCCACATACATGTGCACCACACACATGCATAAACACATATTCACCAAAAAAGGAGAAAAGGCTATGGTGAAAACTGGTTTGAAAATATACCCTCTGGGGCCTGGAGATGGCTCAGTAGTTAAGAGCACTGACTGTTCTCATAGAAGATCCAGGTTCTAATCCAAGCACCCACATGGTAGCTAACAACCATCCCTAGCACACCTCCCCCCACCCCCCTTTTTTTGAGATAGGGTTTCACTATGTGACACTGGCTGGGCTGGAACTCTTTATGTAGACCAAATTGGCTTCAGTTCACAGAGCTCCACCTGCCTGTGCTTCCCAAGTACTGAGATCAAAGGTATGCACCACCATGACTAGCTTGTTTTATTATTTTTGAGATTGTCTCATAGTCCAGGCTAATCTGAATCTTGCTATATAGCCTAGGATGACCTTGGGTTTCTGATCTGCCTCTAACTTCTGAGTGTTGGGATTACAGGCATGCATCACCATGTGGTGTGATACCAAATTCAGGGCCTTGTGCATGTAAGGCAAGCACTCTACCTACTGAGCTACATCCCCAGCCTCTGCTGATTGCCTTTCTACAACAGGTGTCATTGGCTTTCTCTGATGAGCTATTTCTACAGTGTACCAATAATTCTGTTATATACTTAGTAAATAGGACGCCACCAAGAGTTGTTACCTACTGTGTGGTGAGTAGTTAGAAAAGGTTTCAAGGGAGGGAAATGGGCTCAATTTGTGTAATCATGAATCCCTTTTCCTGTCCTCAGACCACTCTGGCAGCTGTTTAATAGTTTTCTGTTTCTAGCCATAAATTCTTAGGAGAATCTGAGAGACATTTGCCCTCTTGGTAGGTCAAAAATGTACATAAGAAAAAACGTTCAGTTTCATTATAGGGTCTTAAAAAAAAGATTATTTTTATTTTATTTATTTTTTGGATCGGTGTATTGCAATGCTGATGGAGGTCAAAAGAGGGCATCAGATCCCCTGGAACTGTAGCTAGCTGCCATGTGGGTGTTGGGAACTGAACCTGGGTCCTCTACAAGAGCAGCTCTTAACCACTGAACCATCTCTCTAGCCTGGGTTGCAGGGTCTTTTAATAGGTTCATCCATCCTTAGACCATAAAGTTAGAAACCGTAATCAAGAGAATCTGGGCCTGGTGTTGAGCCTCCACCCAATTTACTGGAGCTGTCCTTCAAAGAACCTCCTACAGAATTGGCCTGGTTAGTTCACACCCACTGTGGTGACTCGGAGCATTCATACCTTCCTGTCCTAATTCATGTTTCTACGTAATGCCTTTTCACCCTCAACTCTGAATCTTTATTTTCCTTGAAGCGTGGCCAACACCATTTAGTCTAAGAACTCTTTCCCAATCAGTACAGCAAGCCTCCACTTCCTTTGCTAGTCAAATCCATATTACTTGTATACTTGGTGTCTAAGGCTCCAAAGATACTGTTCTCTCTCTCCCTCCCTCTCTCCCCCTCTCTTTTTCTCTCTCTCCCTCTCTCCCTCCTCTCCCCTCTCCCTCCTTCTCTCCCTCCCTTCCTCTCTCTCTCTCCCTCTCTCTCCCTCCCTCTTTCCCCCTCTTTCTTTCCCTCCCTCTCTCCTCTCCCTCTCTTCAGGGAAGACATCTAATCAATCTCATATGCCATGCTTTTCAGTTTATTTCCCAAGCACTGATGTTTGTTTATTTACCGCTGTTTTTAGAATGAGAGAACTCTCTCTCTCTCTCTCTCTCCCTCCCTCCCTCCCTCCCTCCCTCCCTCTCTCAGCCACATTCCTTGGGTGGTTGGTGTTGGATAAATGTCGTTCACATTGGGGAAAAGAAAGAGTGCAGGGTGAGGGAGCAGGCTGTGGCCTCCTGACATTGCAGACCACCCTGCCACCTGCCCCTCCTGCAGTAGCTGCCCAGGTAGTTAATCAGGCTGTGAGGCTTTGCGGTTTGGTGTCCCAGATCCCAGATTGCTCACCAGAGGAAGAGGGAGCGTTTGGCTCCAGTGCAGACGTGCTGCTCAGACAACTCTATTCCTGCTCTGTGTTCTTCCCCAGAAGAACATGTCTCTTCTTTCCAGGCTTTCCCATCCCTTTTTTCCCCTCTACCTGCTCATCCCTCCTCTTGGTCACCCTGCTAGTGATGTGCCTTCCCTCCTGGAGCCTTCCAGAGCCCTTATCTTAGACTCAGTCTGCCCAGGACTGCTGGTTTTACTGCCTGATTGTGTTCTCTGGTTGCTTCTGGTCGTCGTCTCCTCAATTACCTAATAGTGAGTGTGGGCGCCATGTCCAAGTGCTTGGAGCCTATTTGCCCAGTACACTGACTTCCCGTTCATCTTCCCACGATGCTGCTTTTGTATTTTCAGATTCTATCTGAGTTATCTTCCTTTTTCTTTCCCTTAATTGCCCTGAGTATTTCTGGAAAGCTAAAGTTTGTTTCACCATGTGTCTAGAGTAAATCAGGTTACATGTGAAATACTGGTTGTTTGTAGAGCCATAGACAATGCAAATCACTTAACTGGATATATATTAATGTTAGGTACAACATTACATCTGTAGTTACACATTACTAAAGGCATTTTAGAAGGAAGAACTTTGTATATAACATAGGTACATATAACACAGCTATACATATATTTATATGTAATTAAACATGTCTAATGCTTGATTTTTTTTTTTTTTTTTAACGAGGTCTTCCTCCAGTCCACCTGGAGGTTACTATGTAGATCAAGCTGGCCTCTATCTCACAGAGATCTGCCTGCCTCTGCCTCCCGAGGGCTGGCATTAAAGTCATGCTCCACCATGCCAAGAGTATGTCTAATACTTGAAAAGGAATCCAGGGCTGGAGATGGCTCAGGAGTTAAGAGCACTGGCTACTCTTGCAGAGGACCTGGGTTCGATTCCCAGCACCCACATGGTGGCTAACAACTATCTGTAACTCCAGTTCCAGGGGATCCGACACCTTCTGACTTCCGTGAGCATTGCACGACACGGGTGTTTTTACCTACATGCAGGCAATACACTTACACACATAAAAATAATAAAAAAAGAAAAGGGATCCTATACCTGGGTATCTAGTGTGTGGCCTTCCAGTCGTTAGTGAAATATTGTCTCAGATGTGTCAGAATCTTAAAAAATTGCTGTCCTATCCACTGTTCAACCTGTACTGAAGTCTGTGGTTCTAAGGTTTGCAGGTGAGCACTGAGAGGTGTCTGCGTTGTCTAGGATTGCTAGAAGAGGACTAAACACCCAGTAACTTTCCATTAAGCCCTGTGGTCTGCCCTCCCCTTCAGCTGACTCTTGGCCCAGATTCCCTTCCAAGTTGTGGTTGTACAGGGGCATTTATCTTTCCCAAGGCCAGGAACTCAAAGGGTGAGCAGAACTTTCAGGAGTTAAGAGCTCTGTATGAAACCCTCCCGCAGCAGAGGCTAATGTTGAGTGTCTTCCTCTATCATTCTCATTTTTTGAGAGATGGTCTCTCATTGAACCTGGAGCTCACCAGTTTGACTGGACTGATTGACCGGTGAGCCCCTGGAATCCTCCTGTTTCCACTCCACCAGTGTGGGGGTCACAGACATGCCACATCCAGCGTTTATGTGGGTTCTGGGGATCTCAACTTGCGTCCTTACTTGGGAAGCATTTTACCCACTGAGCCATCTCCCCAGCCTCTTTGCTTTTTTAAGAAGCTCCTCTTTGGGCTGGGCGTGGTGGTACACGCCTTTGAACCCAGCACTCAGGGCAGAGGCAGGCTGATCTCTGTGAGTTCAAGGCCAGCCTGGTCTACATAGTTCCAGGCCAGCTGGGGCTACAGGGAGACCCTGTCTCAAAAGAAAAGAGCTCCTCTTCACTAGCCTTCCAGATTATTCATTTGAGTCTGAAAATTTTTGCGTTCAATAAATTCTTACATTGTAACTGTCCCCTCTTCCATGCCAGTGAACAGTCAACGAAGGTGGTGCAGTCATTTCGTGTGCACAACCTCCCCAGCTCTGACCTTCCTCCTCTGCCAAGCTCCCTGCTGTTACCTTCTTTCTTCCTAAGGAATATTCTTTAGCTTGGAATGAAGTTCTTCCCAGATGCCATTAATAGGCTCTTGTCTGCTTCTCACTGCCCTCTGATTAAAAGAAACAACCTTGGGGCCAGCA